AGCCAAAACAATGCAAAAGTCAATATCCATGTCGGGTGGCACCCCCGGCAGGTCTGAAGGAAATACCTCTGGAAACTCACGAACAACGGGCACAGAATCTATAGAAGGAACCTCAACACTAGAATCACGAACATACGCCAAATAGGCCAAATATCCCTTATCAACCATACGCCGAGCCTTCATATATGATATACCCTGCTGGTAGAATGACCAGAAGTCCCTTTCCATTCTAAACGAGGCAACCCCGGTAGTGCTAAGGTCACGGTCTTGGCATGGCAATCCAATATAGCATGATAAGGGGATAACCAATCCATCCTCAGAATGACATCGAAATCCACCATATCGAGAAGTAGGAGATCCATACGGGTCTCAAGACCCCCAATAACAACCACGCAAGCACGATAAACATGATCTACCACAATAGAATCACCCACCGGTGTAGACACATATACAAGAGCACTCAAAGAATCACGAGGCACAACCAGATACGGGGCAAAATAAGATGATACATAAGAGTATGTAGACCCTGGATCAAATAGAACTGAGGCATCTCTACTGCACACTGAAACCGTACCTGTGATAACTACATCAAAGGCCTCCGCCTCAGGTCTGCCTGGCATAGCATAACATCGGGGCTAGGCCCCACCACTCTGAGCTACGTCTCTAGGACGGCCTCCTGCTGGCTGGCCTCCACCTCTAGCGGCCTGACCTTCACCTCTAATATCTCTACCTCCACCTTTAGCACCTCTACCCCCACCCCTAGCTGGCTGAGCAGGCGGTGGAACACCTGGTGCCTGAACCATGGCACGGAAACCCTGCTGCTGCGACTGAACACCCACTAATCTCGGACAAGCCCTCCGGATATGACCATACTCACATCACTCAAAGCATCCACCTGAGTGCTGCGGCTGAAGAGAAGGTGCTCTGATAGGAGCTGATGGTGCACGGTAGGACTGCTGATCAGAATATTGCACATGAGAACCACGACCACTTGGAGCACCATGAGAAGCCTGAAGTGCTGAATGAAACGGCATGGGAGGATGGCCCCTACCAAAAGAATCCCTGCCTCCAGATGGGGCACCACTGAACCTGCCTGAATGACGGGGCCTCTTGTTAGACCCCTGACCACTCCCTTGCGATAGAACCATCTCAACTCTCCTGGCCACATTGGCCACATCTTGAAAAGAAATCTTGCTCCCAGTCTCCTTAGCCATCTGCAATCGAATCGGCTGAGCGAGTCCCTCAATGAACCTCCCCACCCCCTCTCTCTCGGTGGGAAGTATAATAAGAGCATTACGGGCCAAAGCAATAAATTCGGTCTCATACTGAGTGACGGTCATAGAACTCTGCTAGAGACGCTCAAACTGCCTCCGATAGTCCTCCATCTGAGTGATAGGAAGAAACTTCTCCAGAAATAGCTGAGAGAACTGATCCCAAGTCAAGGCAGGCGACCCAGCTGGCCTAGCCAAACAATAATCCCTCCACCAAGTCTTGGCGGAACCTGACAGGCGAAAAACAGCAAAGTCGACCCTATTGGTATCCACGATCCCCATGTTACGAAGAACCTCATGACAGCTGTCTAAGTAATCCTGGGGATCCTCCGAAGATGTACCACCGTAAGTAGTAGTGAACAGCTTGGTGAACCTGTCCAACCTCCACAAAGCATCGGCGGACATAGCTGCTCCGTCACCGATCTGAGCTACCACACCCGGCTGAACTGCTCCAATTGGCTGAGCTGCTGGAGTCTGAAACTGGGGAGCCATCTGCTTTGGAGTGCGGGTAGCAGGAGTCTGTGCTCGTCCCCCAGCCTGAGAGACGGCTGGTACTACAAGAAGTAAGCCTGCCTGAGTAACACTCTCCATAATGCCCACTAGACGGACCAGAGCATCCTGAAGTACTAGGGTAGTAATGAACCCCTCTGGGACCTAAGCTGGGCCCACTGGAACTGTCTGGGCCGGAACCTCATCATCAAAATCTACCTAAGGCTTCGCCGCTGGCGCTACTGTTCTGGGCTGAGCTCTGCCCCTACCTCGGCCCCTAGCACGGCCTCTGCCTCGCCCTCTTCCCCTCGTAGATGCTGCAGGCTCGGGCTGCTGATCAGCGGATGAAGAAGCGCGTGTTCTCGCCATCTGCGAAAGAACAGAGTAGAAGTTCAATTAACGTTGAGAAACCAAATCGCACGAGAGAGAAGAATAGAAGTGAAACTTTTCCTAACTCGGTAGCCTCTAGGGGATAAGCACAGACGTCTCGGTACCGATCCCTCAGACTCTACCAAGCTTGTCCGTGAATTGTGAGACCTAAGCAACCTATAGCTCTGATACCAACTTGTCACAACCCGGACTTCCCACCCTCGAGAGTCGTGATGGCGCCTACTCGTGAAAGCTAGGAAAGCCGAGTGTTATAGATCTTATTACCCTTTTTCCTTAACCTTTTAACAATTTCAAATTAACATACGATCAACAGCAGAATAATAATAATAATAAAAGAAATATGGTAGACGAAATCTGATAGCTTAGCGAAATACTAGTGCGAAAAATACAAAATTACATCTCTACCCAGAACTGGTGTCACAATATCATGGACCATCTACAAATACTACAATCAATGGTCTGAAAAGAAAGATACAAGTCTGTCTCTAAAGTAAATGAAAATAGAATATAAAGATAGAAGGGGACGCCAAGGCCTGCGGACGTCTGCAGGACTACCTCGGGTCTCCGCTGGACTGAAGGCAGCAACCTCGCTATGGTCCGAAAGCTCCGGTACTGAGATCTGCACACAGTGCAGAGTATAGTATCAGCACAACCGACCCCATGTGCTGGCAAGTGTCGAGCCTAACCTCGGCGAAGTAGTGACGAGGCTAGGACAGGACTACCAAATAAACCTGTGCAGCTAAAGCATATACGGCAAGTAATAATAACAGGAACTAGCAGTTAAAGATGGGAAGGGGAACATGCTGTGGGGAACATCAAGTACCAACAGAATCTCAGGAGAAAAGCATAAAGAACATCTTAAATTTCACATCAGCCAGAATAAAGAAACAGTAACGAATCAATGTCCACTTTTATTCTTTATTGTTGCGGCGCGCAACCCGATCCAAATCATATATCACTATTACGGCGTGCAAACCGATCCAAATCGTATAAGCGTGCAACCCGATCCAAATCATATATCACTGTTGCGGCATCCAACCCGACCCCTCATGTCCTCCCTTATTACTCCTTGTTGCGGCGTGCAACCCGATCCCATATAATATTGTTGCGACGTGCAACCCGATCCATATATACAAATTGTATACGGTGAAATTGGAGGGTCCAATTTCTCGGCATGAAGGCACTCGGAAGATCACCTCGAAGGCTCGAGGCCACGGGATCACCTCGAAGGCTCGAGGCCGCGTCCGAATATCTTTCCTCGAGGGTCGATAACACTAGACCCCAAGGTAGTAATGATCACGATAATAGTGGAAGTGGGGAGTTCCCAAGGCAGCAGGCTAGGTCTGATACAATCTAGCAGGCTACTCTGAACCCAAATCAGGGCGTCATTCAGCCCTCTCATCTCCATATCTATGTAATTAATATATTTTGTACTATGTGGGGATTTCCCTCCTATATAAAGGGAGCCCTTGTCATTTTGTAAGGTCTGTTCCTTCAGCTGCTCCACAAGAAATATAAGACAACATTCTCTCTGTTCTATTACATACTCTCTTGATATTATTGCTCTCATTTATTATCTTCATTGTTGTACAAATAAAGTTCAGTACTTGAACTTTGATCGCTTTATGTGCTTGAACACACTTATCTGCTTTTCTGGCGACACCTTCCACTTTGTCTTCTTCCACTCTACACTCTCTCTTCGTCTCCTATTTTGTGCGTGTGTGGGTGTGTTTGCTTCTTTGGAAGGTGCGGATTCTTTCCCGGCGAGGACGAGCTACTTTCAGGTGGGTACAAATTTCCGGCAAGTTTCATAAATCCTGGCGACTCCCGAACAGCTTTCCGACAGGATGCAGTAGGACTTGTCAGCTCTTGGGCAGATCTGACATTATCGGTATTTTTTACTGTTGTTATAGTTTACAGATTCGTTTTGCTCTATATAAATCGACGCTCCTTCTCGCATTTGCTTTCAAATTTCACTTGATTCGCTACATCATTACATGTATCCTTTCTTATTGCGATTTTCTCTTTTTTTTTTGTATATACAAATCTCCCCTACTCTTTTACATTATTTTTACTAATTCTGCAATATTTTGTTTGTTCATAAACTAGCGCCTTCAAATTCGCTTCCTTTTTCCTTGCGTTTCATTACAACGGCTAGGCATCACTAGTGGTAGCAGTGACAACCATCTATTTGTTTGGCCTCGTGGTATTTTGTGTGTATTTCAGGTTAGGGCCGGTGGCTTTGGGTGGCGAGCGATACGTGCACGTGCAAATAGTGGGGAACGACCCAAGTATCAGCAAGGAACGGCAGGAGTTGGACATGAATGAGCTAGGTGGCCGCAATACCGTCGGGTATACCAAGACAATTCCCAGGTTATACTCACGGGAGTTGGTACCTCCCGTTTGCCTGTTTCCCTCTATTGTGTTAGCAAAATTGCTGTCCTTTTAGTTCTTATTAGTTTAGTCACCGTATTAGTACGCCTGTAGTGGCATCTTGTCTTATTCTAGTGTGTTCTGTTGTGTCTGTTAGTGATTCCCCCTAGTCCGCCGGAGTTATAGTGGCTGTAGTCTGGGATGGTCGAGTGAGTTCATGTCCTCGGGGGGGTGCGGGGGTTAGGGGGTGGGTTGGGAGGAAAGGGAGGTAAAGGGAACAAGGATGTGCATCGGTTGAGAATTGGGTCATGGAACGTAGGTTCATTAACAGGTAAGTCTATAGAGTTGGCGAAGATCCTTCAGAAGAGGAGGGTCAATATAGCGTGTGTCCAGGAGACAAGGTGGGCAGGGTCGAGTGCGAGGGACGCGGATGGGTATAAACTTTGGAACTCAGGAACCTAGAAGTGTAAGAATGGAATGGATATTTTGGTGGATAGGGAACTTAGAGAGTCTGTGGTTGAGGTTAGACGAGTGAATGATAGATTGATGATTATTAAGTTGGTGGTTGGACAGTGCACCCTAATCATTGTTAGTGCCGATGCACCACATGCGGGCCTAGATGAGGAGGTTAAACGGCGCTTTTGGGAGAGGTTGGATGAGATTATACGTCAGGTACCACCTACTGAGAAGTTATTCATAGGAGGGGATTTCAATGGCCATATTGGGTCGACCGCAGGTGTGTATGACGAAGTGCATGGAGGCTTCGGTTTTGGGGAGAGGAACGGAGGGGGAACCTCGTTACTGGACTTCGCTAAGGCTTTTGGGTTGGTGGTTGCTAACTCTTGCTTTCCGAAGAGGGAGGATCATTTGGTTACTTTTCAAAATGCAGTGGCGAAGACTCACATTCACTATCTCCTCCTCAAGAGGCGTGACAGAGGGTTGTGCAAGGATTGCAAGGTGATTCCAGGTGAGATACTCGTGACACGACATAGGCTCTTGGTGATGGACGTTGGTATTATGGTGAAGAGGAGGAAAATGTCTTCTCGAGGAAGACCGAGAATCTGGTGGGGAGCCTTAACTAAGGACAAAGCTCAAGAGTTGGAGGGGCGGTTGTCGGCTATGGGAGCTTGGAGGAGCAGTGGTGATGCGAACACTATGTGGTCAACGACAAAAAACTGTATAAGGGAGGCTGCGAGAGAGGTGTTAGGGGTCTCGACGGGCGTCTCTGGCAGGCACAAAGGAGACTAGTGGTGGAATGAAGTGGTACAAGCTAAAGTGGAAGCGAAGAAGGAGGCGTACCGATCATTAGTGGGGAGCATAGGTGAGGAGGAGAGGCGTGCGTGCATGGAGAGGTATATGGTAGCTAGGAAGGAAGCGAAGCTGGCGGTCACGGAGGCTAAGACTGAGGCTTATAGTCGTATGTACGACGAACTAAGGGAAAAAGGAGGGGAGAAGAAGTTATTTAGGCTGGCCAAGCAGAGAGAGAGGAAAGCTCGAGATTTATACCGAGTGAGATGCATCAAGACGACGATGGTAGAGTATTGATGGAAGATTCCCAGATTAGAGGAGATGGCAGACTTACTTTCAAAAACTTCTTAATGAAGTAGGGGATTGGGATATTGTGCTCGGTGAATTGGAGCATTCCGAGAGTCACAGTGACTCTGGGTGCTGCAGACGCATCAAGGTTGAGGAGGTCGTGGGAGCTATGAGTAAGATGAGTAGGGGCAAAGCGACCGGGCCTGACGAGATTCCGGTAGAATTTTGGAAGTGTGTGGGGAAAGCAGGTTTGGAGTGGTTGACTAGGTTGTTGAATGTTATTTTTAAGGCGTAGAGGATGTCGGATGAGTGGAGGTGGAGTACGGTGGTCCCACTGTACAAGAACAAGGGTGATATCCAGAGTTGTAACAATTATAGGGGTATCAAATTACTGAGTCATACTATAAAAGTATGGGAGAGGGTGGTTGAAGCAAGGTTGAGGATGACAGTGTCCATTTCCGACAACCAGTTTGGTTTTATGCCGGGTCGTTCCACTACAGAAGCTAGGGGTGTTCATAAAAACCCGAAAAACCGAAATAAACCGAAAACCAAACCAAACCGACCAAAAAAACGATACTTTTTGGTTTGGTTTGGTTTCGGTTTTGAATTTTAAAAACCGATCAAATTTGGTTTGGTTTTGGTTTTAATCAGAAAAAAACCGAACCAAACCGACTATAGTAGTAGCTATTTCAAATTTATTATTACACCTATATATATGTATACTGTTATACGAAGTTTCAAAAAATTTATGGTAAATATTAATAGTTTGCACTTTTAATATAGTTCTTTACCTTTACAGTCTAGTTTGATTGGTAGTTTTCTTTTGTTTAGTGTAAGAATCCATTTCGTGTTAAAAAATAACATATTTTTAATTGAGTCCTTAAATTATTCATCACTATTTGATTCAATTATCATCAATATATCTCGGTAAATAATAGATTTCTCAAAGGGCAATTGATTTGATTGTGTTACATTGAAAATATAGTCGCCGGAATATGTGTTTGGTAGTGTATGTCTTATATTTAAGAAAAAACTGACAAATAACCGAAAAAACCAAAAAACCGACATAAACCGAATCGAGAAAAACCGACTTAATTGGTTTGGTTTGGTTCTAATATTTGAAAAACTGACTTACTTGGTTTGATTTCTTTTTAGGGAAAAACCGATCCAAACCGAACCATGAACACCCCTAACAGAAGCTATACATCTTGTTAGGAGGTTGGTTGAAAAGTATAGAGATAGGAAGAAAGACCTGCACATGGTGTTTATCGACCTAGAAAAAGCGTATGACAAGGTTCCTAGAGAAGTTCTTTGGAGAAGCTTGAAGGCAAAAGGCGTGTCGGTTCCCTACATTATGGGATTAAGGACATGTATGATGGGGCAAAGACTCGGGTTAGGATAGTAGGCGGCGACTCTGAAGATTTTCCGGTTGTTATGGGGTTACATCAAGGTTCTGCGCTCAGTCATTTCCTATTCGCCCTAGTGATGGACGCGTTAACACATCATATTCAAGGGGATTTGCCATGGTGCATGCTATTCGCTGATGACATAGTTTTGATTGATGAGTCACGAACCGGTGTTAACAAGAGGCTGGAGGTTTGGAGACAAGCTCTTGAATCTAAGGGTTTCAAGCTTAGCAAGACAAAGACGGAATACCTGGAGTGTAAGTTCAGCGCTGAGCAGAGGGAAGTGGGCGTGGGTGTGAGGCTTGAATCACAGGTCATCTGGAGTAGAGACAGCTTCAAGTACCATGGGTCGGTTATCCGGGGGGGAGGGGAGATCGACGAGGATGTTACACACTGTATTGGGGTAGGATGGATGAAGTGGAGGTTAGCATCTGGAGTATTGTGTGACAAGAGAGTGCCACTGATACCCAAAGGTAAGTTCTATAAAGCGGTGGTTAGGCTGGCCATGATGTATGGGGCTGAGTGTTGGCCGGTTAAGAAATCACATACCCAGAAGATGAAGGTAGCAGAAATGAGGATGTTGAGGTAGATGTGCGGGCATATTAGGATGGATAAGATTAGGAATGATGATATCCGGGAGAAGGTGTGCGTGGCTCCCATTGACGACAAGATGCGGGAAGCAAGGCTCAGATAGTTCGGACATATTCAGAGGAGAAGCCCAGATGCTCCGGTAAGGAGGTGCGAATGACTGGTTGTGGAGGGCACGAGAAGAGGTAGGGGCGGCCTAAGAAGTATTGGGGGGAGGTGATTAGACAGGATATGGCGAGTCTTCAGATTTTCGAGGACATGGCACTTGATAGGAACATGTGGAGGTCGAGTATTAGGGTTGCAGGTTAGGAGGTAGTTGAGTCTTGTCTTATGCCATAACTATTTTGCTTTTGCTTTGTATCATTCTTCTTGATTTCATGTTGTTCCTATTTTTCGTATTTTTTCATATTATATCTGTGGTGTTACTAATATTGTCTTCTTTTGTCTTTTTGTCTTCTTGAGCCGAGGGTTGTTCGGAAACAGCCTCTCTACTCCTTCTGGGTAGGGGTAAGGTCTGCGTACACACTACCCTCCCCAGACCCCACTAGTGGGATTTCACTGGGCCGTTGTTGTTGTTGTTGTTGTTGTTATTTCTTATCATTGGTCATAAAGATTTCTTCTTTGATTTATTATAACTGTTAGCCACACTTCGATTACCTTCGATAGCTTACAATCGAGCCCCGGAATCGACCTCGAGGCCCCCGAATCGACAAGCTCGAGGCCCGAATGCTAACCAATCGGTTTGACCATCACTTTATCCTTAGCCCTTATTTCGTTCCTAAGTCTCACATACATAGCATCAATTGCTTAACAACATGCATAAAAATAGATCACGTATTTTTAGAATCCCATAATCAAATTTAATTATTGTTACCATTTTCACGGTAAACAGTTTGGCGCCCACCGTGGGGCTAAAAATAATAGTGATTATTTTCTTGCTGGTTCCATTACACAACGCAAGTTATCTTTCACGCTTTTTCTTGTCCAAAGATCTTTGATTTCAGGTCGGAATGTCTGATTCAATAAACAATAACCTTGAGAACCATGGAGAGAATGGTATGGCCGTTCCAGGTGTTGGTGAGCCACCACGAAACCTTGAGAACACGCCAGGACCAATCCCTGTGGACGAAGTCTCGCGCGACGCTCAACATGTCGAAATAAGCTCCCACACTAACAGGAGCATACACCAAGGCGACCAACAAGAAGCCCAGAAAACCCCGGCCCGGGAAGAAAGAGAGGTTAGCCTTCATGTTATTTTTGAAATGTTGCAGGCACAACAGCTGGCTATTGCTCAGCTGCAAAGCTACCAGAAAACTTCTAGCACGGTAGCACCGGGGACAGCTCCCTCGGCCGAACAGGCACCGGAGAGATCGAGCAATAACGGGTCAATGTCTGATCCAGTCATCATAAAGATGCTCAAGGACCTCACCAGAAGGATTGAATCGGGCGAGAAAATGATAGAAGCCAACGATAAGAAAGTCGAGACTTACAACTCCAGGGTCGGCCAAATTCCAGGAGCGCCCCCGATCTTGAAAGGTGTGGACTCAAAGAAGTTCGTACAGAAGCCGTTCCCACAGGAAGCGGCCCCGAAACACATTCCAAAGAAGTTCAGAATGCCCGACCTCCCAAAGTATAACGGAACGTCAGACCGCAACGAGCACGTCACCGCCTACACTTGTGCAGTAAAGGGCAACGACCTAAGTGATGTTCTAAACGTCAATACCACACAAGAGGGGGGGGTGATTTGTGTGGTACCCAATTTTTGCTCTAGAAGAACCTGGTTCTTCTAGATGTACTTACTACTACTGTTTGCGGAATTTAAAGTGCATAAAATAAAGAACTCAGAGATTTTTACGTGGAAAACACCTGGCTCAAAAGGTGAAAAAACCACGACCTACTACTCAGTAGGATTTTCCCAAACTTCCACTAAAATCACTGAGCGAAAAATAGCATTTACAAAACTCTTGTAAACCTAAGGATTAAACTCTAATCCCAGTGTGGCACACAGCCTCAACTGCTGCGACACTTTCAAGTTAACTCTAACTTGAATACTTAAAGTACCTAATACAATTGCTTCTATGAAAGATGGAAAGGTACGACTTTAAACCACCTACTACAATTGAACTAGAATAAGAATAAACACAAAAGAATTGGTTCTTCTATCTTGTCCAAGTAGCTTCAGGAATGCACACTTGAATTTCACATAAATTGCTTGCAAAATTGCCTCGCTCTTTTGCTCTCAATTTAGTTTTACTTCTGTGTTTGTGCAACACCTGTAAAAGAGAACAATCATTGTTATTTAATGAGTTAGAAAATCAGAGTTTGATTGAGACTCAATTGCTGATCCTTTGTCGAATTTGAGTCCTTCAACAATACAAACTCCAATCCTTATCCTTGATCGGGATTAAGTTCTATTCACATTAGGAGACTTCATCTCCTCATCCTTTATGCAACCTTTTCGATCAATTCAGAAGATATTGAAGCTTGATCCTTGAGAATTATCTTCTTCACGTGCATCTCACATGTGTAAGTAGCTAACCACTGTGTCTCACATGACGAACCTGGTCCATGACTGAGTTCATTTGTCAATCTTCAAAACTTCATCTGAACTTGGGCCAACAAATTCCCCCTTTTTGATGATGACAAACTCTGTGCTTTTACTGATCAGAGAACCTGTGGAACTCAGCTTAATTATCAACACTTTAACTTAGAAATCTTAACTTATAATTAAGGACCAGGTTTAATCAGGTTATAAATATCACTTTAGTTCAGAATACAAAGTAAAGCACAATATCTCTTCCCCCTTTTGGCATCATCAAAAATTGCATATATTGTGAACCCAGATATTAATAATTACTCATGGCCACTAGGGCAACTGCAAGTGAAAATATGGGTTAATTAATCAACAACCAGCAAACAAAATTAACTATTAAGATCAGAATCTGCAATAGAACAAGAGAAATAGCAAATTGTCATTAGAGATGCCTCCATACACAGACCACAAAAAGAAAGAAAAAAACTTCCAACCATGAGCAAAAACACAAAAAATCCCTAACTGGGTCACTAGGGGGGGGGGGGTTTCTAGACTGGTTCAAAGACAGGGACTGGACATCCTAGGGCTTGGAGGAACTAGAGAGCTGGGTTTGGAGAAGGTTGAGCATATTCTGAAGCATTCCATCACTCTTTTCCTTTTCCTTTTCTAGCTCAGATTTAAGGCCATTTCTCTCATTTTCCAGTTCAGCAATACGGGCTTGGAGCCTAGCAATTTCAGCATCTTTTGTTCCACATTCTTGAACCAAGGCCCTAACCTTGCTATTCACAGGAGTCTTCAGAGATGAACCAGGTTCAACTGGGGTGGCATCCATTGGAGAGTCACAAGCCATAAAAGTCTTGACACCAAAGTACTCCTTGCTTGATGCCATTTCCCACTTCTTCAAAGGCACATTTAGCCTTTCCAGAACAGTAGTCAATAGGAACCCATATGGTGTGGCATGAGCTTTGGAGCCATTGATGACTCTATCCAGTAGTTTGACAATAAAAGCATGCCAGTTTATCTGCATTCCTCTCACAAGGCACTCCATGAGGACCAAGTCCATGTAATTGGCAGTGTGCCTTCTCTCCTGCCTTGGCAGCAATCATTTGTTCACAAACTCAAATAGAACCTTGTGCTCAGCCCTCATCTCACTCTTCTGAACAAACCTTGCTTCAGGCACATCTTCAGCAGTTGCAGAATCACAAAAGTTTCTGGTGATTTGGAGTGCAGTAGGAAGAGAATCCAGACAGGGCCACCTTTGCCTAGTGTAATCATCATATCCCACACTGGGAATGTCCAGAATCTCACCCAATTTAGGTGCATCAAACTGCACCTTTACTCCTTTCACCATGCTGGTGACAACCCCATTCTTGACAGTGGCATTGGCCATGAACTCAATCAGCTCCTTCCTGGCCAGTTTCCCATCCAATTGAAGAACCATGTCCTTCAATCCTGCAGCTAGGGCATCCACCAATCTTATCATACCTGGCTCCTCCAGGTCTTTCAACAACCTGCCTTTCAAGATCTTTCTCCTGCCAAAAATGGCAAATCTATCCTGTTCTTTCTCAGACTCCTCCTCTTCTTCTTCTCCACTCCATTCTTCTTCTTCTTCTTTAATAATTTTCTTTTGTTTTCCCTTCACAGCAGACCTAGTTCTTTTAGCCAACGAGTACTCAGCAGATACAGGTACAGAGGATGACTTCTTGGTCGAAGTCTTGGAACTCTTTGGTTTGGGTGTTGGAACCTTTTCAGTTGTTCCTCTTTCTTGATGGACCAGATCCATCTCCTCCTCTTCTTCTTCTGTAACCTCAACACTCTCCACAACTTTTGTCTTTCTTTTTTCCCTCTTTTTCTTCCTGCTTTCTTCCAGTTCTTTTTGCAACTCTTCCTCACTTTTTTTGACCCTGCTTCTAGTTGCTCTTCCCTTTGAAGGGACAGTAGACTTAGGAGATGACACTTTGCTTTTCTTTGTTGGCTTGGAAGCAGTTGGAGCTTTTAGGGAAGAAGCCTTGCGCTTCTTTGGGTCATAGCTGGCCCCAACCTTCTTCAAGATGTCAGCTAGGGTTTCTTCAACAGATGAACCAGGTTCATCTTGTTGTTTACTTAAATGAACAAGACCTTCAGCAGCCTCCCCGGAGCCACTTCCCCCTGACTTGTTGCCACTCTCCTCTACCCCTCCACAGATTGCAAGAATTTTGTCTTTCCTTTTCTTTCCCTTTCTACTAGACTCAGCCTCCTTTACATCTTTCAAAGGACCAACCAAAACAAACCTATTTTCTTCCTTTTCTATCACATCAGAAAATACAAAACAAGTATTAACCTCACCAGGGGTTTCTTGATTTTTGTCAGTATCAGAAGACCCATGTTCTTCTCCTTCACTGGCAGAGATAAATGCTTCAGACTCAGAACTTGAGTCGGATTCTTTAGCAGGACTTTCCTTCTTCTGACTAGCCTTCAATTTTTCATTTAGAGCTTTCCTCAAAGCTCCAGAAGCTACTATTTTTCTGGCTAGCATTTTTTGCCTACGAAAACTAGGTTTTGGGTTTTCAACAGGAGGAGTAGATGAGGATGTATTTGAGGGAGACACAGGTGGGGGAGTTCCAGGGTTATCTTGAGGATTTGTCATGGTGATGGATTTCTGGAGATTTTTGGGGATTTTTGGAAATTTTGGAGAGAAAGAGGATGATCAGAACTTGGGAGAGATTAATGACGGTTATGGACTAAAGAGAAGGATGTGGAGTGTATTTAAAGAGGGTTATGATTAAATGCAGTAATGACAGCCTTTTTGCAGTAGTCAATCAGGAGTTTAATCACTTTAGAATTCTGGTCTCTTGGTGATTAATGGGCGACGCTATTTTTTAGGCAAGAATCCCGTTTTCTTCATAGTTCTAGGAGAATGAAACTGGTTCAATGCTCAACGGATATAATTTCTGGGAGTTTGGTGAAAATAGGACTTCTGCTCATGATTGAAAAATTAATCTTTCTAATTGTGCTAAGTATAGAAAACATACCTGAACTTTCTCATAAGCATATACTGATGAACCAGGTTCTTCAAGTAGAATTCCCTTGAACATGCCTCAAATGTCATAATAGAAAAACTTTGTAAGAGATTAGTGAGTCATATATACACATGTCACAGGAGTATACTGATTAAAGTATGAGACTGAGTAAGGATCAATCTAGTTAGTTACACAAACTTGAAACTTCTAACCAAATTTTTTTTTCATTGCACTCTGAACTGGACCTTTTAGGTGATCTTAATCATCCCCAATTCCAACCTGTTCCTCTAAAAGTTTTCTCTACTCAGTGCTTTAGTGAAGATGTCAGCTATTTGTTTATCAGTAGCACAAAATTCTAGTGAGATCAATCCTTTCTCATTGTTATCTCTTAGGAAGTGGTGTCTAACATCTATGTGCTTGGTCCTTTTATGATGAACAGGGTTCTTTGTCATACTTATAGCACTAGTGTTATCATAGAATATTGGTATACATCCAACTTCAATTCCAAAATCTACCTGCTGTTGTTTGATCCATAGTAATTGAGCACAACAAGAAGCAGCAGCAACATATTCGGCTTCAGCAGTAGATAAGGCTACTGAATTTTGCTTTTTGGTAGCCCATGATACAAGACATGAACCAAGGAAGTGTGCCATACCTGAGGTGCTCTCCCTATCAACTAGGAAACCTGCATAATCAACATCAGCATATCCTACTAGATCAAAGTTACTACCTTTAGGATACCAAAGACACAGATCAGTGGTGCCTTTCAAATATCTCAATATCCTCTTGACAGCAGTCAAGTGAGACTCCTTTGGATTTGTCCGAAAACGAGCACAAAGTCCTACACTG